TGATCTTAGATCTGGTGGCCATTTAGTCCACCATGCAGATCTTAGGAGGTGGTCACTGGTTTACCCAGATTTGGTGGCCATCGAGCCTCTCATGACGATTATGGGCGATGGTCACCACTTGCCTGGATCTACTCGCCTCGGCATCCTAGAGACCAAGCGCAACTCCTACAAGAGTAGATTGAAGGGTGTCTAGTTATCTAGATTATTCAACCAAAGGAATTTGTACAACTTGTTTCTTTGAGGTTGTTTGTATGTACTGTTCACCACCTTTCATTATCACTATTGAACTGGGTTTACTTTAGATTTTCTTTCTAGCTATACTTTATCTGTTTGTTATTTAGGGTCTATTTTGTGCAGTTTGTTAGAGCTTTTGTATTTTTTTGTATGTTTATAAGTGTTTAAAAGTTGTTTTTAAATATAAGAAAAAGTGAGTAAAAAGTAAGTAAAAAGTAAATAAAAAAGAAGTTTATGAAAAACTTAAATTTAGAGTTTTTGATCTTTTGCTATTTAAGATCTTTTTTAAGTTAAACAAATATTTAAAAATGTAAAATTTTTTTAAAAAAATTAAATTTATAAAATATGAATAATATCAAAAAAATGAAACATTTAAAAAACTGCACCAAACGAACATTTATTCTTATCCATAAGATAACGCTTTGCTGTAGATGCCATGTGGCGGTGCTATAATGAAAAGATTTCCTGAGTTCCAAAACAAAAAAAAACTTAGAACTCAAAAGGTGCTAACCTTGGCTAGGTGAAGAGATCCCAAACAGATGCTGAATAACTTTGTTCTAGCCTCGGATGCGAGCATCCCTGTTTACAATCACCTTCCAAAAAAAATTACAGGACCCAAATATGTCGGAGTCGCCGTGCTGCGTAGTCGACGGATGAGCATCGCCCGGAATTTGTTCTTCCTGAACAGCATCTCCTTCATTTTGACCCTTTTTCTAACCAATATTATTGTAGTTCTCTTCCTCATCAAGAAACGACCAAGTCAATCCCAACAACCATCAACGTTCTTTCTTCCTCTCTCTGCATATAAGTCTACCCTCATTCAATCCTTCACTTCGTATTTTGATTAATACAGTTAAAGAGGATCTTCGAATCGGATTCCAGTAATGGTGCTGCCGCTACTGAAGTTAGGAACCTTGGCCTTGAAAACGCTCAGCAAACCGGTGGCTAACAGGCTCAAGAAACAGGCCGCCGTGAGTCCCAGATTCCGGGAACTAATCATTAGCATTGCCCAGGTACAATACACACCCTTTTGTTTTTCTTCCCATTTTGTCAAATGGCACTACTAAAATTCTATTTTTCACCAACTAAGTATCAGCAACATGGATCCACTTATCGGTGATATAAATTTTTACCGACAAAATCCATGTTGCTGATACTTAAATAGTACACCTTTTACCAAAAAGTGTTTTTCACTTTCAGCAACTTGGTTCTTGTTGCTGAAAGTGATTTTCAGCAACAAAAACCATGTTGCTGAAATTTTTCGGCTACTATTCATGACCGGGTGTTTTACTAATTCCATAAATTAATCAGCAACATGGAGCAGGTCGGTAATATGGTTTTTTACCGACAAGACCCACGTTGCTGATATTTCAACAGTACACATTCAGCCCAAAAAGTATTGTTTACTTTTAGCAACATGGTTCTTGTTGCTGAAAGTAAATTTCAGCAACAAGAACTATGTTGCTGAAATTTTTTAGTGGGCTATATCATTAGCAACATATACTATGTTGCTGATATTAATATCAATAATATACCTCATCTTGCTATTATTTATTGACCGGTAGTTGCTATCACCGGCAAGAAATATATTGCTAAAAATTATTTTTGACAAGTAGCTCCACCACCCATTATATATACACATTTTTCATGCCAATACATACGCCCCTTCCACACTTTATATATGTACACATTATTTTTTAAACTATTAACAAAATTTTTATTGTTGTAATTATATTAATAAATATATTAA